AGTCAGGATACCTTTTTGTAATAGTATGCTTTCAAACTAACCCATGCTTCAGTTAAGATTTTAAGGGTTGTAACGTGTCCTGGTTCACGGTTTAAGAAACAAAGGATAAAGGCTCAAAATTTATTTGTATCCACCCGTTCTTCATGATGTTCTTCAGCCCTATACTCAATTAATTATGCGTCTAAATTCCAATTGAGTCTGGAATCTTGGCCCTGATATTCCAGTGATGATTCAGATACTGAAAGTTTATCTAAGAAGGCAATCATTTTTGTAACCTTTTCTTTTTGTTGAGGATTTGTAGCGAACTTTTTTTAAATTTTATTATCCCTACCTTTTTCCTGAACTGTTTCTTTTGTGATTACAGTCAACGGGATGCCCCCGTTTTTTTTTCTTAAGTCTCCTTCATAGGTTTTTACTTAGTGGGCTTTTATTTTGACAGATAATGACTGTCTGTTTTAATGATTATGTGGAACTATCACCATCTTTTGTTTTATAAGGATACCTCCGACACTACTCGTCATGTACGAAGGGAAAGTTTGTGATTGAGTGCACTATTGAATTAACTGAGAAACTACCCTACCCCTTGTTATGATTAAAGGTTTCAACTTGTGTGAAAAAGAAAACTCCTACTTCTTAGGCTCGTAGGGGGTGGACTAGGGATTATCTTCCTTATAACTCAATTGTTTAGGATTAGAAACAACGCCTGTACATCGTCAGCAAGGCCTGTTCAAAAGAATATTGTAGAGATTAGGGTATATTTTTCGCCATCCTCCCTCTAAAGGCTTACAACTTTCAATCGAGAGTTGAATATCACAAAAAGGAAGTAAAATCATAACTTAAGTATAGTGAAAATGAATGGATTAATTCAAGACAAACATATGCAATGCATTAATGGGATAACAAAGTTTAACATGAAATAAGTGTTCGAACAATCAAAAGAAAATTACAATTTGAAAATTCTAATGAACAAAAATCCTTTGTCTGAACTAGTCACTTCAGATGGTGTGCCTTTGAGGGATGGCAGAAGAATTCAGTCTGACCATCTTATATGAACTCCAGCACCCCTTTGTCGATCAAGTCCTGAATCTTATTTTTCAATGCCCAACAGCTATTCATATCATGTCCAGGACAATTATAATGGTATGCACACATTCCATTAGGATGATAGCTAGGAGCAGAGGTATTGGGATTCCGAAGAGGATCCCTCAATGTAATCAACTCCATATTTAACATGTGTTACAATACCTGATCCAAGAACATGTTGATTTTGGTGAATTGCCTTTTCGGTGTGTCCTGCTTATGCTGATTGCCTTGTCGTTGCTGCTGCATTAGTGATGGATTAAAGATCCACACTACCCCTACAAATTAGTTGAGATTACTCTTATTACGGCCCTTCTGGTCGTACACAGTACTGGACTCCTTATTTCCATGGTATGGTCTCTTCTGAGTACTTGAAGATGTAGTCCCCTGAATTTCACCGCTCCTGAGTTTATGTTCAACATACTCCCGCATGAACATGTCACCTAATTCCCTATCTGCCAAGAGAGGTTGATCATTGATTAGGCCTCAAATTCTAGTAGTTTTCCCCAGACGGTCGTATCTGTCTTGATGAAGCTTACTTATCAGAATTCTTAACTCTTCTTGTCCCCGAGCTAAATTTTTTATAAGAGCCATCTGACTACTCATCTGGATTCTCATCCTTTCCATCTCAGCTTGCAGTGGTTCCAACTGGCCATCCTTGTTGTCTTCAGGATCTTTCTCGGCCATGTTCCTAGCGAGGAGTGCTTTCAATTATTCTTTCCCCTTGGATAGATTTAGGAACATTTCCCTTAACTGAGCATCTTGAGTTTGGAGATCTCTATTTTTCTGTTCGAGAGCCATTTTCCTTGCTGAAATAAACAACGAGAAAATGAGAAACCTGTCTGGAGAATACCTGATATGTATGACATGCATGCTATGTTTTCAAGGATCTAGCGGGGTAAACACAAGAAATATTTGAATTTGATTGCAACTTTGATTGAAGAACTTCGTCTTGTTGAATGTCCTTCTACGAGAATCAAGCTCACCATGTCGAGCGGGTCATAGCCTCTGACTCAAGTTATCGTGTTTTGGTCTTTTGATGACATTGGCTAGAAGAAAATAAATCCACTTGCCCCTTTCTAGACGTATGATTTATCATAACCTGCACCACAGACCCTTGAGATCCTTGAAATGGTTAAGGAAATGCTATGGTATGATGTTATGATGTGTATGCTATGCATCAAGCAAAAGTTTAAGGAGATGAAGTAAGTCTTGCAAGAAGTTCATATTATTGGATAATGACTATAAACAAGTCCTGTAAGGAATTCACATTGTTAGATAATGAATACAAACAAAAGCCTGCAAGGAATTTAAGTTGTTATATAATGAAAACAAACAAGTCATACAAGTAGCCTTAGGTTTAGGCTTGCATGAGGTTTGTAGGTAAATACCCTCTTGAAGTTTAGTTGGTTCAACCTGTCTTAGAAAAATAACTGGGTTCTAAGGAGTCTCAATATCACTGATCTTTCTTTATCAGGCATTTTTTCGGCTCAGGCGATATTTTCTCACGGCCAAAATATCCCTAAAGTCCAATCTCAATAAGTGTAGCATCGAGTATCAACCAATCCTAAGCTTTATACTGAGGCCGGCTATCTCACTACTTTCTAATGGCCAAGTTTTTTCAACTAAGGTTCTAAGGTCAGTTAGTGCTTTATGACGACACCACACAGTGGCCCTGTATTCTCTTCGATTTAACACAAGGGATACTGGTACCAACAAATGTGTCACACTAATGCAACCATCGCTTCAACCATATCAGTCTACGCCGTACAATCTCCATGATCTATTGTTGCTTACCAAAAAGTGCTCCAAATCCGGGTATATGAGATTTACAAGTAAACCCAAACAAACCCTTAAAGTAAAGCAAGCAAAGCATACAAGGAAAGCAAATTAATATGATCTAGATCTAAGGAAACCCCACTTTATATCAATGTTCCCCAGCAGAGTTGCCAGTTCTGTAATACGGTGGCAGAATCGACTGTTATACTGGTTTTGCATTTGTATTCGCAAATGTTGTGGTAAGCAAGAGTCGCCACTGACTTTTCTTTTATCTAACAAAGCAAAGGGTGAAAAGAACAGAAAAAGACCTTTCGAGATTTATTTCTGAGTAAGAGGGGTAGATTATGGAAAGGGGAGGTGTTAGCACCCTTTCCATCTGTAGTTATCTACGGGCTCTTAGATGCTAGATCATTTGATAAATACCTTGTGCTTTATGTGTTTGAAAACTATTTTGGAAGAAACCGCCTTAGTACAACGAATTTTGTAATGTTTCTTGGATTGGTAGAGAATGTATACAAAGTGTTTTTGAAAAATGTTTTTGAAAGAGTTTTGTGTATGTGTAAAAGTTTATTTTGTTTTGAGCAAGCATCTAAGAATTATCTACTATACTCGAAAGGTTGTTCTTTTCCTCTTTTCCTTTAGACAGTGATATCCTACTATTAGTGAGTAGGTAGCCCTAGTCGTTGGATGTTTGAGGGACATCCGAAGGGACATCGTTACAATCACAAAGGCAACTGGGCATGATACCTTAGTAGCTACCCTAGGGTTTTAAGATCACATCGAGGCAACGTTGAAAGGGTCATTTTTTATATTTAAACCGGAGGGTAGCCACTAAAGTCTCTCACGTTTCGAGAGTTATGACTATTTTCCGAAGGCAACCAAAGTGGGAATACCCTAGAGGTGCGCATGTGCCATTGTGTTTGTATTCAGTTATTTTGTCTTTGCATTAGGTTTTCTAGCATTTGATATTAAAATCTTTCCATACAATCATATTAATCACGCATCTAAATAGTTAATAGCTGCAGGAATTTAAAGTGTGGAAACGTAAAAATCTAGCTATTATAAGGCTTCAGGAAGGGGGATTATTTACAAGTCCAAACTGGCACTACGCCAAAAATGATTTTTTGTATCACCTAATTTAATAGCACTTTTAAAAAAAATGCTATTAAAATGGAAAAAACACATTTATAATAGCACTTTTTAATCGGGCGCTATTATATAATACATACTATGTAATTATGATAGCACTTTGTACCAAAACGCTATTATTAAACTTCTTTAAGATAGCATTTTGTATAAAACGCTATTATTTGACTACCTATATAATAGCATTTATTAAAAAGCGCTATGTTATATATAATAATGAATTAATTAATTAATTGATAAAAAAAAAACAAAACACATTTTCAGAAAAATAAAGACGGAGGAGTTCAACACAGAGACGGAAGAGGGAATACAACCGCCATCGCCGTCACCATCTCAACCCACCGCAACCTGCAAAACAAAGAAGGCAGAGCAAGGTCAATACCGGATCAGAAAACTCAAGAAGCTGAACAAGACAGATTGTAAAGGGGTAAATATCTTAGCTCTTGTTGTTTTAGTTCTGGTATGGTTTGAGGGTCATCAGGTTTTGATAAAAGAGGAAAAGGTTGGTTTCGGCGCCGCCGCGGTGATTAGGTTTTAGGGTTTGTGAAGAGGAAGAAAGGGGTAAGGCATTGGAACTTAGAATGTGATTTAATAAAACACATTGGAACTCAGAATGTGATTTAATACTATCATGTTCCAAAGTTTTCTATAACTAGTTGATCTGTGACACTGCTGGAAGATGAGACAGTGTTTTGGTTTGTCTTGTAGCTTTCTTTGTTCTTGATGTATATATATCTGGCGGTTTGAGTTCATGATTTCTCTTCCTATGATTGGTCACTGTGGGGGGTAATAGGTATCAACTTCAAAATATAATATGCTTGCTGATTTGGGTATTGAGATATTGTTCTGTAAAAATTTATTTCATTATCATAAAATGGTGATATTGTTCTGTAAAAATCTAACGTTTTTTTTCTTTCTTTTTTCAGAACCGCGATCGAATTGTGAGCTTCATAGACTGTGAATGATTGAATTCGAGTTTGGAGTTTCAAGTTGAGATGACGAGTCCGTTAAGGGAAGACGAGAAACACGAGCGCGCGATTCGAGCTCTTCTTAGGCTCGAACCCAATCGAACATGCATTAACTGCAACAGTTTGGTAAGAACATGCATTGTACAAGATATTGCTGAGAAAACTAGAGAATCAGAGATTAGGAAGTAGAAATCGAGCAATGTGATTCTTGATACTTGAATTAGGAAGAATGAGTTTAGTTTCATAATTATTACAATTAGCTGAAATTACAAGATTAATCCAACTATAACAAAAATTAATTACCTGCAACGGAATCACAAATACATAATAAGTGAAACAGTCTACTAAGATGCACATTCGATTCTATCAAATTTAGAAGCTATTGCTCAGAAAAACTAGAGAATTAGATAAGAGATTAATTTACAATTACATTCTATCAAGCTTGTCCGTGATACTCGAATTGAATGAGATAAATGTGTTAGTGTCATATAGTGCTAGTTTACAATTACAATTACTTTCTGACCCCCTTGAAAGTTCATCATTGTTATATAGTTGGAAATTGGGGACTCCTCCTGCATGAGAACTCCTGTTGGTCAGGTCACCTTCTCACATTTCTTCTCCCTTTAGAGTCTGGATCGTACTCCATCCTTATCCTCTAGCTCATATCTCCCAAGGTTGTAACCTTAATTTTTTCTGGGTATTTTGCATACTGCCAAACGGTATTTCTGGTCAGTGAGAAATGTGTACTATTTTGTGTGTTTTAGAGAGTTGTGCTTGTTTAGTCCAGACTATTTTATCATGCTAAATGTTGTATATCATGCTAAATGTTGTATATCATGAGTTCCTCACTTCCATTATATGTAATCAGTATCTCATTCTCATGTTACAGATTGATATTTTACTCTGCACTGATTGCTTCCATGATGGGAAATTTGTCGCCGGTCATTCAAGTATAGATTTTATAAGGGTGGATTCAACAAGAGATTACGGTGAACTAGATGGGGAAAGTTGGACTGATCAAGAAACTTTGTTGCTGCTTGAAGCAATGGAGATTTACAATGAGAATTGGAATGAAATTGCCGAGCATGTTGGTACCAAGTCAAAAGCACAATGTATTCTTCATTTTCTTCGTATGCCCATGGAAGATGGGAAATTGGAAAATATCAATGTTCCAAGCATGTCTTTGTCATCCAGTGCGATGAATAGAGATGATAATGGAAGATCGCATCATTACTCGAATGGAGATTCTGCAGGTCTGTCTTATATTTTTTAATTAAGCCAAATTGCTGTGATAAGGTTTTGATTTAATATCTATGCTCTCACAGGACCTGCCCATCAAATCAGAGATTCTGACAACCGCCTGCCTTTTGCTAATTCTGGAAATCCTGTTATGGCTCTGGTAGGTGACTATAAGTAATATTCCTAAGTTATTATTCAATTAAGAAATGCGATTTTCAAACAAGTTTATAAGACTAGGAACATGGTTATCAGTACTGCACTTTGCATCTTTTTCTTAACTTATTTACTTCATTATTTTTAAATTTTTAAAAACAAAAACCCGTTTCGTCAAGTTGCACTGCTTTTCTTTGAAGTAAAAAAAATGGTCACCATGCTTACTTATCAAAAGCTTTAATAGGGTGATATGCTGACATGCCATGAAATTGTATTTAGATAGTGCACCAGAGTTTCACAACTAATTAAACTCTATTATATAGTTTACTGTTCTTTTGATGAGATTCTTACACATCTGGTTTTGGTTGATGTTATCTAAAGGTTGCCTTTTTAGCCTCTGCGGTTGGACCAAGAGTAGCGGCCTCATGTGCTCATGCAGCATTATCAGTGTTGTCAGGGGATAATACTGGCTCCCAGACGGAGGCATCAGGGCATGATAATAGGTGAGTAAGATTACCAAAGCACATGCATTTTTATTGGGTGAAGTATTTTTCCTGGGCGGTTCCTCATTTTTTGTGCATATCCTATCTTCTGATTTCTCTTTCTTCTAGTTTATGAATTTTGTACTGAACATTAATAATATTTACACATGAAGGACAAATCCAGAAAACATGCATTGTAGGGATGGTGGCTCTCGAGGAGAAGCTGCAATTTCAAATAATCATAATGGTTAGTTATGTTTGCTGCTTTTTACGTAGCTGATATAATGTAATGCCCCAATGTCCAATGCGACACAGTGTTATTTTCTTCTTGACAAGTGCTACTTTTGATTTCAGAGGAAAAGGCAAAAGCAATTAGTTCGCGGGATCAAAATGAGGGTAGGACCACCCCACTCTCTGCTGAAAAAGTTAATGAAGCAGCTAAAGCAGGCCTCTCTGCTGCAGCAATGAAAGCTAAATTGTTTGCCGATCACGAAGAACGAGAAATTCAGAGATTATGTGCTAATATAATTAATCATCAGGTACAGCTGTTGTTTCTGGTCTTCAATTTCAGTTGATTCAGCTAAAATATTGATCTACTTCATCTCTTTCTATTTCTATCTGATGTAAGCAGCAGTTAGACATATTTTTTTACAGAATAGGTAAATTAAGCAATAGGAGAAAACTCCAAAATCAGGTGCAGAGCTAGTATTTTGATGTTTAACTACTTTTAGTGGCTTGCTGTTGTTAACAGTTGAAAAGATTGGAATTGAAGCTGAAACAGTTTGCAGAAATCGAAACATTGTTGATGAAGGAATGCGAACAAGTGGAAAGGGCAAAACAGAGGTTTGCTGCTGAACGCACCCGTGTTATATCAGCACGTTTTGGAACTGCAGGAACTACGCCTGCAATGAATGCATCTGGTGTTGGTCCTAACAATTAATTGTGATTGATGCAGGATCTGTTCACTGCAAAACACTCTTCCTTCTCTGCTCCAGTTCAAGGTTGGCAGGCGGGTCTTCCCCAGGGCAGGGGCATCTCAATGCAATATAATAATAATGTGGCGGTACTGTTACAATCCAGAATGATTAGCTTACCAGATTATCTTACTATGCATTTAGTTTTTATGCTCCAAACAGCTTATGATTAATAATCAGAGAGAGGACCTTTTTTTTTATATTAAAAAGGACATTTCCTTCATAAAGAGTCAACCAAATGGATGCTTTTAATCTGTAACTTGTACAAAAAATGAGTATTTCTCTCATAAATGTGCGCCCTCTGTTACAGCCCATACCAAGTTTTTCGGAGCCATCAAGGTCAACAAATCCATTTGATGTCGGCAGCAAACAAACCCCAGATCAAGACCCAGGTGTATGTGACTTTCATTGATTTATAATATGAGTATGTTTACTGTGTTGTACTATTGCCAATAATAGTTCCTACTCTTGTCAATGCTTGGTGGATAATGCATGAGTATACAATTGAGGAATTTTCTCTTCGAAAGTTCATATTTGTGGAAGTTTAACAATTGATTGGATTTTGTCCACAATTAAGTAAAAAACTCTTCATTTATTTTTTGGTTCTATAGGAAGTTAGCAACTGTACATTACTGCGTAAAGTTTGCATCTTGCATAATTATTAAGAATATTGGATGTGTTGAAAATTGATGTCTTTGTTTTGTTTGTGATCTCCTATCATTGAAAAGGTTGGGACATTGAAATGTGATATACTGACTTTTTAACATGTTGATTCATTGGTTAATTCAGACAGGCAACAACCTGAAGAAGTGGAAGAAAGGCAACAACCTAAACAAGTGTCAGAGAGGTTGCAACAACCTGAAAAAGTGGCACAGAGGCAACACCTTGAACAAGTGGTAGAAAGGAAACAACCAGAAAAAGTAGCTGAGAGTCGACTACCTAGTGATAAAGGTTCTATGATACAAGAAAACAAGAAGCAATTATTTTGCCTAATTAGTGATTGTATCTATGAGTTCAACGCTTTTGGATCATGAAGGTGGTTACTACATGAGATTGTTTTGTTATCCTTTCTTATTTTTTTGGTGTTTTGTTTAGAGAATTTGATTGTATGTTTTTGGATTTGGATTGAAGTAATCATTAATGGGCATCTACAAATTTGGCTATGCAAACGCCCTCTTAATATTCTATATGTTATGATATTTGGAAACAATAGGATTTGGTAATTTAAAATGTTATTTAGTATTTGATGGATCATAATATATATGCAATGAGTAACTTAAAGCGTTATTTGTGTTGAACTGAATATAGTTATTTTATATTTACACCAAAAAAAATGATTGTGTAAGAAAAAATATTGTACTGTACTTATTAAAAATATTGTACCAAATATGTACCATTTATTAGCACTTTATTTGAAAGTGCTATCAAACATATGTTATATATTAGCGCTTTTGTTTAGAGTGCTATAAAAAAACAAACAAAAAACATGCAAAATACTGACTTTGATAGCACTTTAATTAAAACGCTATTATAAATTGGTACTTTAATAGCGCTTTTAAAGTGCTATTAAATAAGAAATATTTACAATAGTGGCGCGGTTAATAGCACTTTTAAGCGCTATCAAAAACAAAAAAAAGCGCTATTAAATAGCTTATTTGGCGTAGTGTGGGGAAAAGTAAAAAGCAGCAAAACTAAAGTTCTTGTTAAGTCTATTACATCCCAGTAAGCAAATACAATAATATGAAATAAGTGCAAAAGTAAATAAGTGCGTGCGAAATGGAAATGACGTTTAAAACCCTAGAAAGTCCTAAGTAAAATAAAATTCTTTTTGTTTGTTTTTGATTTTATGTTGAGAAAATAGTTGAATTAAAAATAATTAATCTAGATCTATATTTAAAGGAAAAAATTTAATTATAGAAGAAAAAATGAAATTAAAGAAAAGAAATTAATTTCTAAGTTTTTTTGGTATTTTTAATATGAAATAAAAATGAATTAAAATCCTAAGTCTATTTAGTTTTAAATTAATGAAGATGGTTTAAATAATTATTAATTAATTTACCAAATTAATTTAATTAATAAAAATGCTAACCTAATATTTTTATTATTTTTTATCTGATTTTTATGTTGATTAAAAAAATAATTTAAAATAAAGCATAAAAAATGATCAAATAAGTAAAATAAAAAAAAGAATGGACCGGGCCTGGTGCTACTTAGCAAACATGGGTGTATGAATTGGAATTTTGTTAGGCCCAACAAGAAAACCCAAATCCTGCACGCTTCAATGGTTTTGACTCTTTGGAGGTCCATCATGGGGAAACACTCTAGGAGAAATGGATCTGGATTAATTAAGATCTATTAGCTGAGATCTGAAAGTGCATGATAGGCGTTTGAAGTGTAGCACACTGGATCTGCAACAGGTTGTTAGAAAAAAATAAAAATGCAAGACCTGGGTATCGAACCCAGGTCCTTTCCAAGTTCGCACACTTGCCTTACCACTCAGCCAACCTGTCAATTGTTGATACAAATAACATAATGGAAATATATGTGAAACCAAGCCAGATATATATTTGAATTAAAAAACATACGCGTTGACTGAATGAGCCAATAAGAGTGTAAAGCCTGGGCACCAGTGTCAGCCCACCGGAATCAACTCTCCGGTGGGCTCGAATTGGATCCTGCAAAAATAACAAAACTCAATGATCAAAACCTACCATACCCCCCTAAATCGAACCCCCTGAGTTCAAATCTGCAGTCCGTTTGGTCTGAAACATCCTAGATTTTGAGATTCGAAGAAGAACACATATCGTTCCCTAGAAATGGCACGATCTTATTCCGGTCCTTAAACTTGCATGTATTACATTAGATCTGCACTAATGGTGCCCCTAAACACGAATAAAACAGTTAGAGGTATCAATATGGCATGTATATGCAATTTTGATTTTACAAACCCTTACTAATGGGAGATGCGTGGGTTGGTGGCTTTGGGCGTGTAAATGGTTGCTTAAGGGCCTGAATGCCTTCCTGGGGACCTCAGGAGGAAGATAGGATGCTTGGTTTAGAGTGATAGTGGTTGTAACTTGCTGTTTGAATTTTGACAACTTAAAGATTTTTTGCAATTTTGGGACCTTTGGTGAGGCAATGTATGCGTGTCTTATGCTTGCATATGTGATGCTTATTTATAGAAGAGCATAGTGACTTGATAAATATGGCAAGGATCAGCCATTAAACATGGTTTTGGAAACAAGATCAAAGAATTGAAAAACATGCCATTTTGGGTGATTCTCTTGCCATTCTTATCTTTGCATGAACCTGGACTTTTCTGATATTTCTTCCACGAAAATTGGGTCCTCTAAAATAAATCCAAACATCAGCCCATATTGAATAGTTGGACAGTAATGAAGAAAATTTGTGAAAAATGTAAAGACAGTGTAAAAAGAAAGAAAAATTGCATTTTGAACTATTATGTGTCGGCACAATGCTTTTATGCATCGACACATAACTCTTCTTGCTCCTGTAAAACAAAATCAACTCAGTATGAGTCGATGCATAAGGGGATGTGTCAACTCATGCACCTTTCATCCTTCTGTTTTGGGCCTAGATAACAATATGTATCGACAAATAAGGCTTTGTGTCGACTCATACCTTGTTCTGTCACTAAAATGAGTCGACTCATGTGGGTATGTCTCAACTCATGCTGCAGTTTTTTACCTTAAACATTGTTCTATTGTTTGTACAGGTCAGTCTTCAACATAGTATTGACAAAAGCAAGTAAATGGTTAGCTTCAAAGAACAATGATTACTACATTTATCCTAAAAAATGAATCATTAATGATGCTTAAAATGAAAGGTTCAATATTCAAGAAGACTTACCTTAGACTGCAATTTGTTTTGAATTTGAACCTCTTTCAAGATGATGTGGTCGCCTCAGTGAACCTCCAGGATACTGCTCCAATCTTCCCTCTGTATTGGAAGCTGTAATGTATGAGCTTGTATCTTCCAAATGATTCATTTCATGAACTTGAGGATAAAAGAGAAGTTGTACGGAATTGGATTCTCTTCAAAATGAGACTTGGTTGGGGAAAATGGATAAAGTATGTGAAAGTTATGCCTGGTCAAAGTTCAGTTAACTTTTCCTATAAAAACCCTAATTTAGTAATTCTTGACTTTTGATAAATTAAGAGTATTCATTAAGGAATCATGATTAATCCTTGATCAAATGATGGATAACACTTCAAAATGTTGATGTTGAACAAAAATCTTGAAGTTTGACTGTATATTGGTCATAATTGACTTTTGACCTGGTACAATTGATTTTCAAACACTTGAGCAGTTGACTGAGTAAACTTGTAGTGTAAGGCATGGAATTTGGCATGAAAAATCTTGAAGACATATTAGGGACCATGGAAATCCTTTAGAGCCTTTTCAACCCAAACATCTTAGTGCAAAGTGAAACCCTAGTTGGAGGTTCATTGCTTAGGAGGAGAATTTGTATGATCAATTCTTGGTGAACCTTGAGCAATTGAGGACCTCAATGAGCATTTATTGAGTAAAATAGGAGGGAAAATTTCATGGTATAACACATCCCCTGCATATTTTCCTCGAACAAATAAATAAGAATCCCCAACGGAAGCATTCTAGACAAGATTGAAGATACACGTACTCTTCATCCCTAACAATGGTCAGGGATTTATTTTCCCAGACAAAATATAGCATGGACTTACAATTACATTTCAACAACATTTTACATTCATCATAGCATACGCATACGAAACGCATATAGAATAATCTCATTTATTTTGAGAACATCATTACACAATGCGTTTTATACATAATGACATTGCATACAACTAACTCTTTACCTTTTCAGGAAAGATCAATCAACAAACGAATATCATCAACAATTTTCAAACAGTTCTAGATTAATTCCCGAAACAGGACAGGGCGACTATCTACATGACGAACACTA